CTGTTCTCTTCTCTTCACTCTGAATTCCATTTAATTTCTTCTACTTCTTGATTGGCAAAAATTATTGCTCAACTTTGTTCACCAAAAGTTGATCAAGTTTACCCTTTCGCCTGAATCTACATTCATTTGATTGGAACTAAATTAATGCTTCGATGCTTTGAGGCAACTCAGTTCATCTGATAATGTACATCCTTCCTGAATACATTTGTTGCATCCTATAAAGCTCCTTAGTTATCTACAGCCAATTCCCTCCTGAACAAATTTCAGTAACCACTAATTGAAGTCAATTGTTCTGTTTGTTTTCTCCATGCCCAAGAAACACTGGAAGCCAAACAGACACCTGCAATGTTGTATTTGTTACTTTAACCCTTAGGCTGGTCTCTGCAGACCGATCACTTTGTAGTTTGCAATCCACACAGCATGAAGCCAAAACAATGACTAATATAAAACAACAATTTGAATTTACATAGTACCCTTCATGCGGGACAGTGCATCAGAGCATTTAACAATGGGAGATCTTGATGCCGAGCCAAGGGGGGAGGGGGTAGTGATCATAGGCACGGTGAAAGAGGAAGGTCTTCAGCTGTGATCTGAAGACGAGGAAAAGAGGCAAGGCAGAGGGAATGAGGGAGATAGTTCCATAGTTTCAGAACTTAGTGGCTGAAAGCACTACCATCAATTGGGCAGTGGAGGGGACGAGAGACAAGCAGGAGGCTGGAGCCAGAGGAGCAGAGGCAGTAGAGTTGGGAGTAAGCAGGTCCGAGAGGTAGGGATGAGCCAGGGCATGAAGCAATTTGTAAACAAGTATAAGGATCTTGAAGTCAATCCATTCTGTAATAGGAAACCAGTGGTGCCTGGCAAAGACTGGGATGATGGAGCTACGGAGTTTGGTACAGGTAAGTACACAGGCAGTGGAGTTTTGAATTAATTGGATTTTGTCAATAGTGGAGTATTTGAGGAGGGTATTGGAATAATCGAGGCAGGAGGTGAAGAAAGCATGGATACTTAACGATTATCATTTGATATTGTCATAAACAGTACAACTACTGAAATATCATGAGTTGCTTTGATCCTTAATACCACCCATAAAGTACTAAAATAAACACCCAAAATCTTAGTGGGTTGTTGTCCCAGGTTTGTTCCCTATTTTTTACTTTACATTTTACACTGCTCTTAATTTTATTTAATTGTAATGCCTATTACGCTTTCACAGTAGATAAAATATTGGTGTAAATGCTGATTGAAGCTTTCCCAATTCGTACTGAGTTGTTTCTCCTCTGATATCCCCCCTACTCCCTAAACACAACCACACACACACACAAACACTTATCTTCATAAAGAGATACAAACATTAAGGATGCAGTAAAATGCTTTCATTCTGATTCAATAACCATGTGGAATAAATTGATTATTTATACTGTGACCTTGATTACAAGAATAGGTATTACAGGCTGTACACCTTTGATACTAAACTTCCAGGTACCTATTATTGGTATAATAATAAACCAAACAACCCCCCCTTACTTTTCTCATGCATTTTAAGAGCACAATTTTTGGGACGTCCTCCTGACGTGAAAGGCCCTCTATAAATGGAATCTTGTTGTTGTTGTTGTAAGCAGACTGACTCATGCCGTGTTGCCAGGGGAAATTGTTCACTGAAAATGCATTTAGGAAGAGGAACTGAAACGTACTTAATATGGAAACAACTTATCCGCTGAATATGCCCACACCAACGTTCCTTCTCCCCTACTCAAATTTTCATAACAACTGCGCTGATTAAACTGAAGCAATACATATCTGATCAGCCAAAAGCCAATCGCTTACTACATAATAATCCTTGCATTTGAAATGGAGCCTTATCACGTCATTGAGACGCCTCAAAGTGCTTCACAGAATATACTGTAGAGTGTGGTGACTATGTATTTTGTGGGCGAAACGCAGCAGCCATAAGCGCACAGCAGTGTTCCTCAAACAGTCGTGGACCAAATTTGTTTTTATTTTTTGAAGGGATTGTTACTCCCAGAAAAGCGATCCACTAATCGACTAACAACCGGGTTCCTACTTACTGCTAAGTAAACAGGGGCTTGTGGAGTAAGTAAACCTAACCATCCCACCTGGGAATCGAACCCAGGTCCTCTCGCTTGCAAGGCGAGTGCTCTAACTACTAAGCTACAGGACTTAATTAGTGAGGGGCATGTATTTATAATATGATGTATGATTTGTACAAAGTTTAATATTTTATCCAACTCAATTACATGGTGAGAAAAATCTATGGCATTAAGAATAGCACAAGTAGCAAAATACCATGCGCTTACCATATAGTGAATTACTGCACAACCGTGGCAGACTTGATAGCATTTTTACAAATTATATGATGCACATAAGCTGGTTATTTAACGGATATGCTTGACAAAGTAGTTCATCATTTCACTGGAACTATCTATTCAAATGGAAATAATCCACCCGAGAGACGTCTCTTAAGTAACGTTCAATTTTAGCAGCTAATTTTGGTCTGGACTTAACAGAAACTGAAGCTTCCTATGAATACACGCAATAATGCATCTCAAAGCCAATACTGCCAGCCTGATGGATGTCTAGTGTAAAGTGTAAACTAACACCAGAGGATTAAACATACTTTCTGGTTGATTTTGTTCACTCTTGTGTTCCTTCGGTAGCAGTTAACTGGTAAAAGGCCATGATAAAAGTAAGCAATTTTTTTCACGTCTTCTATTCCCCCTCCACCAAAATACTCAATCTGCATAGCGTAAGGAAAGGAAAGTGCATCCTATACTATTTTTACACATCTCCCAGGTGATCAGTTTCTGCAAGGCATTGGGAGGATCTTCCAACCTTCTTAACCTTGAAAGACTCGAGCCAGGGGAAGAGAATTTACTTTAAAATGTTGGAATCTGACCCTAAAAAAAGTAAATGTAAACATTGGTAAGAAGTCTATTTTTTCTCACTATGCTTCCCATGCATCTTTGCATCTTCCCCTCCACAATTGCCCTTGGCTGAATATGGTGTCCACCTTGTTCTTAAAAATGAAACTGTAGCATTGCCTCAGAGGCGTTAGTTAATCAAGCAAACGTTAAATGCATTCCCACGAGAAGGGAAGGATTCTGAGAGGTGGATTTACTGACCTGGACTGTTTTTTACTGGTGTAAAAAAGACTGACCATGGTTGTCAGGCAGAATACATATTGGTTTACACCAAATTTACTATGCAACACTGCCGCTAGCTGTGGCTTCTTAGTAGGCAGAAGGACCGCTAGCAGAAAGGAGAACACCTTGATGCCACTTTCCTAGTTATGCAGTTCAGGTTAATCTGCCCTCTGAGACTTGGTTTTCACATCACAAACAATCTAAGGCCTTTTAAGCATTCATATCAGGTGGTCCGCTTTCCTCAACAAGAGATGGATGTGAGTAGGTAGTATAACTTTATTGTGCCCACTTTTACCACGTTAGAAAAAATATCATCAGTACCAAACTAGCACCAGAATAGTCCGCCACCACTAGGCACCACTGGGCGCAGGTTAAAATGTTCAATGTTTTATTTTTACATGGCGTATTTGAAATGCACTTAACTCATTTGATCATCCATTCAATTTTAACAGGACACTTTTGCAAACAACAAGATTATGGTATTAACATCACAGTTTGGCAGAGTAGTAAAACATGAATTCATTCATTGAGGTACCCAATCCCAAGCATCTGAGAAAGAACAAAATCCTCTTAACATTTTTTCCCTTGCTTTACAACCAATATGAGTAGGAACCATTTCCTTCTTAATCTCTTGAAACCTTTTCAATGTCCAATAATCATTCCTTCATGAAACCGCACAATCCACACCAGGCTATATCATAGGTCACAAAGTTTGCAATACAGGTATTATCAGTCTATTCTGCTTTGAATAACAAATACACAAATAAAATGTGAAAAAAATGTTAATACAAATTTTGTGTACAAAATGAATTTTAATGAAAATGAACCTACTGATGAAAAAAAATTAAGGTTAAATAAGCACAATGTGCTTCAATAGACCCATTGAGAAACGTACACCTCTTCTTTGACCATGCTTTGTCACCTTTCTCCCCACATTCCCTCGGTTCACATCCCCAGTTCCCAGGCATTGTCAAGCACTTTGATATGTCCTCCGGACATGAAAGGTGCTATATAAATGTAAATTGTAAGTGTACTTGTTTCTTCAAACTTAATTTGGAAAATAAACATCTGGGAATAATGGAGTTTAACTTATAAGTTTGTAATTCTCAAGAACTGTAACAGTCCCTCATTACAGTCATTTCCTAGGACAATATTCAAAACTTATGGTGATCCCTGTTACATTAAACCCAGACATGAAAATCTGATTAAGATGCATGTGCTGTTCTCCAAGTGATAGTCAACCCACTAGGTCCTCGTGTTTGCTTCTGAAGATACCATCAAAAAAATCCCAAAAGCCCATTAGCAGAGAGCCAGAAATTAGCTGATTCAAGTTCCACTTCCTGTTGTATCTGTTTTCACTTAAAAATATCGGACATAGAGACAAAGAACCCTCATGAAAATGGCAACATTTTACAATTGGAAGAATTTTAAAATACAAGATTTCAAAAAAGGAATCCAACTTCAGATTAACATTCAAAAAGCATTCCTTACTTCAATAACTTAAAACATCTCAATCCTTCTAAGTGCATTTCCACTGGTCACTAAAGCCTTGATGGCCAGTGATAATAACAAATAGGATTTCCCAATCAGTGAATTTCACACACCTATATTCTCCAGTATCTAGAGGTCTGTATTCAAAAATATTTAGCAAGAGAACAATAAAACATTCTGTCATGCAAAGTGTAGAAATGAAATGGTATGTAGATCATTGCTTGGGTGTTTATATATCACAAGAAACTAGATACCAGAAAGACATGGGAAAATAAGATTAAAAAAATATTTACAGCATGTGCTGATAACCAGAAGTGGCTTGTGTTTGTACTTTTCCTTTAAATGCATTAATTACCTGTAACTGGGTTGTTTCTTGTGAAATTGTCACACAGATACTTGAGGCAGAAGGGTCCAAATGCTGTCGTACATGGGTTAGTCCTATTTAGAATTAGAAAACAAAAAAGTGAGAACCAGCACAATAGTGGACAAATCATCTAAATGTGTGAAAATAATGACAAAACGTTCATTAAAACTTTGACAAGTTTAAGGAATTATTTAGGAATAATGCATATTCAGAAATTCAATTCAGTTTACAGTATATTCTCAAAAAGATGGTTTGATTCGCCTTCTCAAAATAGCACTGAAAGGCATTCTCCACCTTTACATAATGAGCCTTTACATAATGAGCTGCCACCTGCAATATTTCAAAGTGTGAACATTCAACACTATTTGAGAAATGGGACTGAATCAGACATTCATTGCATTTATGGTTTGGGTACTTCAAAGTAGAACACTCAAATCTCATACAATTGGAAATTAATTTGTTTCCACATCTGTTTTGTAGGTTCATAAGAAACAAAATCAGCTGTAATGCAATCCAGCAAAATTAAAGAAAATGTGTAACTGACAACGCAAAGCAGCATATTTCTGTAACGCACCTTAAAAAGTCCTGGTTGAGACCAGTCCCTCCACAGTCTTGCTCCTTATTACCTCTGCAACCTACTAAAGCTTTACGAACCTGTCAGCTCTCTCTGCTTGGCAAGCACTGGCCTGCTCTATGTGCCCTCCCTTATCCATTCCATCATCGGCAGTTTGGCCTTCAGCCTGTCTGTCCCCACGGTCTGGAATTCCATCCCACAGGCCCTTCGTCTCACCCCCTTCTACAAGGCCAGTCTCAAGTTCTTCCTCTTCGACCGTGCCTTTAGTCATCTTCCCACCTCAAACCCTCTGCCCTCCACCTCTTTTGATTCCAACCCCCAGCTCGGGTTCCATTGACTCGGGATGTCCTCCCGACATGAAAGTTACAATAAAAAATGCAACTTGTGGATGTTGTAGAAAAGTAGCAATGCGTGGTTAAAATAGCAGCTGGGTTTTTTAGAGAATTTAGGTTCTGTGGATTTTCTGGGAGTGGGGAAAGGAAAGGTGAAGATGTCTCCATGATCTAACTCATTTTGCCAGGGATTGGCTAGACTGCCAATGTTCTCCACAACCCCATCAGGAAATGGTACATTCTACAAGTAGAGGGGAGGAGGGAGGGAACAAGAAGGGTGCAATTTAATTATAGGGATTTATTTTAAGTCAAAGAAAAGCAGGAAAACACATGTATTAGGATAATAAATTAAAGAATGCCAAGTATGCAGAACAAATTCATTTCAGTAATCCGTCTGCAGGCAAGATGTAGTAAGGTTGGTAGATGTAGATATAATAGTTGCTGTGATATCTCACAAGACTAATTGTAAAGGGGATGTTGGGAGAGGGAAAAGGTAGATTTAAAAAAATGGTAGTAAGTAACTAACAGGAAGCCGAGGACTGTATATGATTTTAAAATTCAAAACTGGAGTCTGATGTAATCTTCCTAATAAAACTATTTAAGCGATCTGAAGCACTACCCCCTTTTGAAGGGCGCTCTATAAACGCAAGTTGTTGTTATCCAAGTGTTTAACACCACAGTCCTCGTGTACAGCTTATGCTCGTTCATTTGGAAATTTCGGCCTGTATCAATACAAACTCATTATAACTGCAGGGCTCAAAAGACCAGTCCCCAGTTCAGACAAGGGTGTGAGATCACATTGGGGGATTAGTCTCAACATCACATGCAATTCACAACACCAGTCTGACTGTAGTTAGCGCCTTTCTTAGCTTTCGGCCCTACTTAGCAGAGCTCTGACCTTAGGTGAACATATGCGAACCTCCACTTCACCTCCTCTGAGCTTACAGTAACTGTGGTGCCAACCTAACAGCAAAACTCCAATTTGCTAGCTCAGGTATTGCCAGCAGTATAACTAGACTATAAATGTTCAGATATATATGGTTCTAAGCAGCTCCTTGATGGTCCAGTAGGTAAAGGCAATGTACAGAGTAGCTTTGGGTCATATGCAGCAGATCTGAATTAAACGTCTGGAATGAGTTAGCTGATCGCTTGGACTGTATACCACAAATCTAATTTCCAGTGGGAAAATTCTGCACAAATACTCCCTAATGATAATCAAGTGAAACTCCAGGATATCGACGAGATTAATCTACACATTTTCAGCATTCCTGTCTGCTGCCTGTCAATCCAGCAGCAAAGCAACAGTCTACTCTCTAAAAAAATGTTACTCTCTATTTACCCCCAAACCCTCAATCACATCCCAACCATGTAGAGTACTTACTCAGCTCTCTTCTGATCCACATATCAAAAGCTTTTTATCACGAGTCCCTCCACTACACTGCATGGGGAGGGGGAAAATCTTATCTGAAATTTGTTAATGTTTAACGTGTGTTTTGCTTCTCATTCTCTGCTCATAGTCCAGGTTAAATATTTTGGTTAGGTTTGCATTAAAAAGCTGAAATACATCACAATAAAGACCTGTATAAAGACCTCTGGCATCCCTTCTCCAGTAAAAAATAAGTTCAAATCTCTACATTTTTTCTTCTAACTGGAGCTTTCAGAACTCTGCCGCCACCATACTTACCTGGAACAAACTCCGTACCCCAATCTCACCGGCTCTGGCCAGGCTCCACTGGTTCCCCGTCACTGAACAGATCAACTTCAAGATGCCCACACTCTTGTCCAAATCCATTCATTACATGGCACCTTCCTACCCTCCAACCTCCTCACTCCCCAATCCACCACCCGGAGCCTCCTCTTGACTGGCACCAGCCTCCTGCTTATTCCTCACACCCTCCACTCTACCATTGGAGGTCGCGCTGTCAGCCATTACACACCAAAGCTCTGGGACATTCTCCCTCAAACCCACTGCCTTGCCCCTTCTCTCCCCTTTTTCAAGTCCCACCTGAAAACTTTCTTTTTAACCGTGCTTAGTCACCTTCCCCCTCGGCTCGGAGTCAGGCTCTGCCACTGTTAAGCGTTCTGAGACGTTACCCTGCGTTGAGGGCACTGTATAAATGAAAGTTGTTTTTGTTGTATTAAGTCATTGGATGTTCTAAATTGTTCTTCCCTGTACTATCTCCAAGCATCATTGTCTTTTAAAAGTTAAGAGTGACTGAAACTGCAAACAATATGCCAAATGTGGCCTCAATAATTCATACAAGGTTAGAACAGTGAAATGCACTCAAGATGCATCCAAGCACTTGTTAAATTAATAGCAGCTTTATATTGACTCAGAATTTCAGTGCAGGATCAATAATCACACTCAAATCCTTTTTCCATTTCCTTTTTCACTTTTGTTAATGGGCACCCCTTCATCGGATATACATTTCATTTTTCCTGTTCCAATAAACATTACCTTACATTTTCCATTGGACTTTTTGATCCAGGTCCTTTGAGTTCTGTCATTCTTCCTGAGCGTTACTTCCTGAGTACATACTCTCTTCCCTGTGATCAGCAAATTACTATACATCCCTCAAGTATGTTCTCCATACAATGTGCATTGAACAGAATAGCTTGTTGCAAAGGCTTTTTTTAAAAAAAGAATCAGTTTGATAGGCTGGCAAACACAGTTTAAAAGCATTTAGCCTTTTTGAAGCAGCATGTTGACTTATTCCAGCATATTAGGGACACCAATGAAATGAATGTGGTTAACTGCACTGATATCAGACTCATGGAATCAAATAGTCTTCCACTAACTTGGAGCGCAGAATCAGAATTCTGATACACAACTTGTGCAAAACCTTTACAATTAAATGTCTTTAACTTGGCCATTTGAAATGCCTTTTGTGGGCTTTAAAATAAGTATATATTTATCAAAAGTGTAACCAGAAGTATCTTACGCTGAAGTGCACATTACCACTTTGCAAATGGGGAGTATCCAACCACATCAGATGAGTGAACAGAAAAATACAAGGTGCTCACAATGCCTATGTGAGGAGGGTTGGAGAGAATAAAATAAACAGGCGAATGATGCAACAATGAACAATAGTTAGTCCATGTGGTATGGAGCACCTCTAAATATCCATTCGTGCAAAATTATTAGAGGGACTCTTAGAGACAAGTTACTTGCCCATGGTCTGCACCACAGCATTTCCTAAACCAAGAAAGGAAAGGAATTTAAGTCTGTTAACAAAATTAATGGCATATTGGGAAATTTACCAGATGTGGCAGTCAATACATGTTGCCAAGTCTAGTGATTTTCCCGACAGGAAGAAATACTCGGCCACACCATTGTGTTTTAATTCAAACAATATTTGTAGGGGTGGGAACTGAAATGCTAGTGACATTGGGAATTGGCTTTTAGTAAACAGACTGCTAGGCTCCCATCCAGTCAGAACACTAAACACAAGAGGATGATAACATTGGTATTTATACTTTGTTTAATACAAAGCTTAATACAACTGAAATGTTTACTATTTTAAAAATGCAATATCAATGGTAAATTACTTAAAGTGTAGTGAAAAGTGAATTCTGATTCTGCTCTCCAAGCTAGTGGAAGACTATTTGATTCCATGAGTCTGATATCAGTGCAGTGAACCACATTCATTTCATTGGTGTGCCTAATATGCTGGAATAGGTCAACATGCTGCTTCAGAAAGGCTAGATGCTTTTAAGCTGTGTTTGCCAGCCTATCAAACTGATTCTTTTTTTAAAAAAAAGCCTTTGCAACAAGCTATTCTGTCCAATGCACATTGTATGGAGAACATACTTGAGGGATGTATAGTAGCTCAGTGGTTAGAGCACTCGCTTTGCAAGCGAGAGACCCGAGTTCAATTCCAGGCAGGGTGAAACCTTGGGCAAGTTTCCTTACTCCACACACCTAATAATAATCCCTCCAAAACCAAACACAATAATAAAATTGGTCATTTTCAATCTTCGACTGTTTGTGGGACATTGGTGTGCGCAATTGGCTGCCGCATTCGCCCACAAATATACAGTCAATTCACTTTACAGTACATTCTAGCAACAAAACCAATAAACAATAATTAAAATTCTAATTTCTGCACTTAAAAACAGTCTTACTTCTAGAATAATAAATTGTACAATAATATAAAAATACTCGCAT